GGTGACTCTGGTGTCCCCCCCCCCCGCCGCCGCCGGAACTCTGCGCCGGCTCAGAGGCCCCTCACCCTCGGCGGCGGGCAGCGAGGAGGGCGACTCCATCGAGCTGGCCAGCGAGGGCGGCGCTGAGCCGCGGAGGAGGAGGAGGAGGAGGAGGAGGGGCGCCGCGGGGAAGCCGCCGGGGACGACGAGACCGACCGACCGACCGAGGCCAGCCGTTGCTAGAGGCGCGCGGGCGGGGCGGGGCGAGGGAGGGAGGGAGCGCTCCGGGCCACCCACCCCCCATGATGGTGTCCGGGCGCGCCCCCACCTGGCCGGCCGCGGTGCCCCTGCACGCACGCGGAGCCCCGCTCTCCGGCCCCGCCTGGATGGAAGCGCTGCGGGGCCGGGGCCTCGCTCCGTATCCAGCCCGCCCGCGAGAGAGAGAGAGAGCGAGAGCGCGCTGGACGGGGGTCGAGCCACCGCCTCCTATATATGGATCGAGCCAGCTCACACTCACTCAGTTTGAAGGGAACACTGGCTGGAGTGGAGCCCCCCTGTCCTGGAAGGCAGGGCCCTGCCCTTGTGCGGCGCCTCCCTCCCTGCCTGCCTGCCTGCCTGGGGTCCTGGAGAGCGTGCCCCCCCCCCCCCAGCCCGGGCCCTAACTCCCGTCACGCCTGTGGTGGCACTGGGTGGCACTGTTGAGAGGAAAGGCGTGGAGACGCCCAGATGTGGCGCCACCGAGAGGTCGTCTTTCTGCACGCATGGAACGGCTCCAAATCTTCCCCCCCATGGCACATCACCTTTGTGGGTCATCATTTCTGCGGAACCCCCGGAAAACGGAGGTGCACGTCCTGGTGACCTCTCGGCATCTCAGAGGTGCTCGTGTTCAACCCACCCCCTGCGATGTACCCTCTCTGGATGCTGACAGCCAGTGCGCACACCTTTGAGTGGCTCAGCTGCGCCTCCTCTTGCAGAGAAGAACGCTTCCCCTGTTTTGTCAACTGGGACCATCTCTGTGGGCTGCACAGCATAATTGCAAACAGCGCTGAAATCCACAGGGACTCATGGATGTGGGGGGACTGGGGAAATCAAGCGCTGCCTTATTAAACCCTTTCCTCTTCTCCTCTGCAAAACCAGCCTCCTTCGGGTGTCTCCCCCCCCCCCCCCCCCCGCTGGCTGGAGGCTCCCCTGCTCGACCTGTCCCTATTAGCACCCCACCCCCCACCCCGGGGCCAGGGATGCGGGTTTCTGCCTTGAGGCACCTGCAGTCTCCGCTCAGAGTGGGGGGTGGGGAGAGGCTTGGGAAGCAGAGGGCCGGCTGAAGATGGGCGGGAGCTTCCACACGTGTTGAGCCAGGGTCAGAGTGCTGGACTAGGACCCAGTTCGAATCCCCGCTCAGTGACAGAAACGGGCCAGGTCACGCAAAGTTCCCTCTAAGCTGTGGAGTCCTGCGAGCAAATATTCTACTTTGTGAGCCGCTGGCATTAAAGATGTGAGTGAGCCATTTGGCGACTGCATACATTACGTTTCCTCTGGAGCCGCATCTTTCCTGAGCGAAGGCAAAAATGTGTGAGCCGGAGGATAAAAAACGGTGAGCTGGCTCGCACCAGCTCAGCTTAGAGGGAGCACTGGCCGGGTGACCTTGGGCCAGTCACAGTCTCTCAACCTAGCCTACCTCACTGGGTTGCTGTGAGGATACAGTGGAGGGGAGGGGAGCAGCGCCAGCTGCTGGAGGAGGAGGGGGGGGTATAGAGGACGACAATGAATACCTGCTGCGGGCTGCGGCCCAGGAGCCGTGGGCTGGGTGCTGCCCGTCACAGAGGAGGGGGATGACGGGGCCACTCCAAGCGCCACTTGCTTCCTAGGTAGCCACCTGTATGGGGGGGGGAGGGGAAACTGGCCTTGTGGCCTCTTCCGCCTCTGCGATCCTGGACAGGCAAGGCAAATGTGGGGGGAGGGGGGAGGTTGGGGCTCCCCAAGTGCGTCCGGAAGGTGGAGAGGGGCCCTCAGGTGGAAGCTGGAGCCCTGAGGGCCTTCTGGCCAGTGCAAAGGAGGGCTGCTCCCTCCCAGGCCCCCACGGCCCACTGCGGAAGGAGCCTCCCCTTCACACCCTGAGGAGGCCCCGGTGGTGCCGCCACAGCCCTCCTGATGGGTGGGTGCCCTCTGCCTGTCGGCACCTGGGGGTGGGTGGGGTGGAGCCGGTGGGCGCCACGGTGCAGCCTCCTGCCAGTGTGCCGAGGGAGCAGAGTGAGACGGCTGCCGTGTGTGTAACCGTAGCTGCCACCTGAAGCCTCCCTGGGGTGTGGGCTTCCAGTCTCCTCGTTCCCATGGGCCAGGTAGGAGAGAGAGGGGCCCCGCGGTCACGACGTCTTCCTCTTGCTCTGGCCTGCAGGACGCCCGCGGGACTCACCTGCTGAGAGGAGCCTCCCAGGATGCCGCTCTTCGGGATAACGTTCGGCAGGAAGAGGGCGCAAGGTGAGTGTGTGTGTGTTTTTGGGGGGAAGCCTGGCTGGAGTCCGGCCTTGGACGGCCGCCGATCGATCACGAACCAGCTCAGTCCCTGCTGCCCGGCGAAGCGGCACACGCACCTGCCCGGGCATCCAGTTACAGCCACCCAGCCTGGTGTGTGTGTGTGTGTGGGGAGCTGTGAGCCCAAGGCCTGGTCCCTGGTGGGGGGCTCGGGAGGCCTCAGTGAGGGAGGGGGGGCCTTGGGAGGGAGGGCATCCGTCCATGCACCGGCCCTCCAGGCAGGCGAGGGGGGGGCTCAGGCTCCCTCCCAGCCAGCCCGACCCAGAGGGGCTGCGTGGAAGGGGCTGCCTCTGGCTCCCGACGGGACCTCCAGGAGGGTCCCCCAGCGGGTTCGTCTGGAAGGGCAGACCAAAGCGGGGGAGGGGGGAGCCTTGAAGGGGAACCATGTCCCTTCCAGCGGCCGCTCGCGTGAGCCCCGGTTCGCCATGGGGGGGGGGGGGGGGGGGCACCGGGGGGGGGGGGGGGGAAGCTTACCTGCTTCTTCGGGTAGGGCCCGGGAAACGCCTTGTAAGTCTTCAGGGTGCTGCCGGGCTGTGCTTTCCTTTCCACAATGCTGTGTCCTGCACATTAATACACATCAACCCGCACAAGGAAAAGCAGACCCAATGCAGTAGGAGGGCTTCTGCTGCCCGTGGCGGGGGGACGGGGAGGCTCCGTTCGTCCTCTGAAGGGCTAGAGGTGGGTGCTGCTTTCCGCATGAAGAACAGTGTCAGCGGGACATGGGCGCCTGTGCCCTCCGCCCACCCATTTGGGCACTGGGCCGGCAAGGAGAGCTGTCCGTCTCAGTGGCAGCCTGTGCCAGAGGTAGGGAGGCTCCGAGCAGGGATTCTGGTGGTCTTCTGGGGTCTGACTGGGCCAGGTCCCCACTTCTGGGGGCAGCCAAGGGGGGGTCACGGCAGGGGCTTTCCATTAAGGCCCAGCAGGAGCTCTTGGTGGGGGGGGGGGTGGCTGCAGCCCCAGACTCCCCTTGCCTGGGCCCTGGAGGCTGCTCCGCCCCGTGAGCCAGAAGATGAGATGCCAGAGTTGGCTTCCAGGCTGCCCAGCGAGTGAGGTGAGACCTCCTGCTGACGCTGCAGAGATGTTTGTGCAGACACACTGCTGGGGGAGCGCGTTCCGCAGGGGTGGTGCAGCCGGGCGCCCTCTCTTGCGGAGGAGTGCAGTCTGAGGAGTGCAGAGGAGGCGCTGCTTGCTCTGAGGGCATCTGATGCGGGCAGAGGGGCCCCCCAGCCCCCGGCGGGCAACGGAAGCCGTCCTGGAGCTTGGCGCTGATCTTCCCTTCCGGGACGGAGGCTCTGCTGCGTCTTTGGGGAGTGGGTGGCCGTGTCCCTTCCTTGGTTCGAGAGCCAGCGTGGACCAGGACTAGTGCCAGGGGTGGACCAGGAGTCCGGGTGACCCCGGACTGGGCGACCGTGGGCCCATCACAAACTCTCAGCCGTGCCTACCTCACAGTGTTGTTGTTGTTGTTGTCGTGAGAGACCAAGGAGGGGAGAAAGATGCTCTGAGCCACTGTGAGTCTCAGACATGGGGAGAAAAGCAGGATACGAATAAATGAAGAAATGCAGAGGCAGGAGAAGAGCTGCTTTTTTCCTTTCTTTAAAAAGAAGGCCAGAGAGATTTGCTGGCCCCTGGCAGGGAGTCCGGACAATTGTGGACCCAAGCGAGGGCATTAAGGTCCCCAGGCCACCAGCGTAGTGCAGTGGTAGCATTTACAATTTAGAAACATTCCCCAGTGTTTGACCGTGTCCGGGAACTGATGACTTGAGAAGTTGCCCTTAGCCAGGGGTCATTTCGTAGAAAAAGAGCTAGGGGGACTCATTAGCATAACTCATTAGCATATGCCACACCCCCTGACATCACCGGAAGTGTGTCATAAGGCCACACACCCCGCCCCCAACGGTCCTGGGCGGCGGCGGCCTTGCAGCTCCACTGCCGAGCCCCATGAGGGGCCCGGCGGTGGACCTGCAAGGCCGGCGGGAGTGCAAGGAAGCCCCGCGAAGGCCCTCCCTGGCCCCAGGCAGGCAGGGGTGGGGGGCGGCAGGGGGGAAGCAACTTACCCTCCCTCTTCTCCTGCCTCCTCCTGGCTGAATGAGGGCCAGAAGCGGGGCGGCCGGAAGCGGGGCGGCCGAAATGACCTCTGCCCTTAGCCCACGGGACCTCAGTCCCAGAGCGAGACTTCGAGTCCTGCCGTCCGAGTGGGTTGTTCTGTAGCTCTTCGTCTTAGGAGATGTTTCCCCCCATTCCTCATTTGGGTCGTGTCTGTCTGGACCCAGAAGCGTTGCCGGCAGGTCCTGCTTCTGCTCGGCCAAGGGCAGTGAGCAGGCGAGGGGTGCCACACTGTCTGCTGGGAATGTACCCCACGGTCACCTTGCCGGTCCAGGGACATGTTTCCAAGCCTGCCTGTGTCCCCCTCCCCACCCTGGTCAGCCACTGGGAGCACCTCAGTGGCTTCAAAGAAGAGAAGGAGTCACTCCCTTGACCCGAGTGGTCCACCTGGCCCTGAGTCTGGCCGCTGATCCCTCAGGTCCAATCCTGTGTTCTTCACCTAGGTGGCGTCTCGGAGGAGGAGGGTTGGGCAGAGGGAGGCCTCTCCACCCCCAGCGTGGCCTCCTTTGGGGGCCGGAGCAGCCTGACTTCCCGCAGGCGATCGGAAAAGGGGCTGCTTCAGAGCCTGGTGGCCTAAGCCCCTTTCAGACGTTCGATTTCAGGTGGCTTACAAATCACATATTAAAAACATAGTAAAGGTCAAGGTTTCCCTCGCTCGAAAGCCAGTCGAATCCGACTCTAGGGATGCGGTGCTCATCTCCCTTTCCAAGCCAAAGAGCCAGCGCTGTCCAAAGACGTTTCCGTGGTCATGTGGCCGGCATGACTAGACGCTAAGGCACACGGAACGCTGTCACCTTCCCACCGAAGTGGGACCTATTTATCTACTTGCAATTTGGTGTCATGGTTAAGTGCGTGGACTCTGGGAGAACCGGGTTTGATTCCCCACTCCTCCTCCACTTGCACCTGGCTGGATGACCTTGGGCAAGCCGTAATTCTGATAAGAGCTGTCCTTGAAAAAGAGCAGTTTCTGTCAGAGCTCTCTCAGCCCCACCGACCTCACAGGGTGTCTGTTGTGGGGAGGGGAAGGGAAAGGAGTTTGTAAGCCCCTCTGAGTCGCCTTCGGGTAGTGAAGGGAGGGGTATGAATCCAATCTCTTCTTCTTGCTTTCGAACTACTAGGTTGGCAGGAGCTGGGGCCAGAGACGGGAGCTCACTCCGTCATCCGGCACTCGGGTCTTGAACTGCCGAACTACAGACCTTCCGGTCTGCAGTTCAGCGTCTTAACCACTTGAGCCACCGCAGCCCCTCATTAAAAACATACAGAACAGAATGGAGCCCAAACAGCCCCCTCTCCCTGCGGGATGTCTGCAGTGGCTGCTGGCAAACAGCAGGGCCCAGAAGCGCCGTTCTGGAAAGGGCCAGGAGGAAGCCAGCTCCCTTTTGCCACCACCACCCCGGGGGGTGCTCCACGGCGGGCAGGGTGAGGCTCACTCGCTCGCGGGCTCCTCCCTGTCCGTCCCCACAGGCTCCTTGGCCTGCCTTCTCCCCCAGGCCCTGATCCCCGCGGCTGCCCAGGAGGCAAAGGGTGCAGAAGGTGCTGCCGGCCTGCTTACCTGTGCCCCCCCCCCCCGCATTGCCGGGGGGAAACACAAAGTGGCCCAAGGGTGCTGCTGGCTGAGCCACCTGAAGCCAGCAGGGAGAAGGTGGCAGGCAGATGATTGGGAGGTTAACCCCCCCGCCACCCGCTGTGCGAAGGTGTGCAGGGGGGAGGGGCTGGGTGAGAGGGAGGGGGCCCCCGGAGGCCATCCCTCAGACGGGAAAGGAGGTGGGCATAGTGTGCTGGAAACACCCCCTCCCCATGACCGGACAGCTGCCGTTGTCTGTCCCCTGGCCATGACCGTGGGGGCACACGCCCCAGGAGAGGCCGTGGGTTGCTCAAGAACAAGTCAGGGGAGACTCACTTCCATCTCCTTTTTTAGAGAGTTGCTGCTTTGTCAGATTAGGGGAATGCTGCCGGATGTAGTTTATCTTGATTTCAGTAAGGCTTCTGATAAGATACCACGTGATATTCTTGTTGACGAGTGGGTAAAATGTGGCTTGGATCCTACTACTGTGAGGTGGGTTTGTAAGTGGTTGGCAGAGCGCCCCCAAAGAGTGCTTGTGAACGGGTCCTCATCCTCAACAATGGTGTGTGTGGGGCTTCTGGTGTCCTGGCCCCACTGCCGGACCTCCTGGTGGCCCCTGGTGTTTTTGGCCGCTGTGTGACAGAGTGTTGGACTAGATGGGCCGTTAGCCTGATCCAACATTGGCTTCTCTTGTGTTCTCTTATGTTCTTGGAGAGGAGTGACAAGTGGAGTACCTCGAGGATCTGTCCTGGGACCTGTTTTGTTCAACACCTTTATAAGTGATTTGGATGAAGGGATAGAGGGAATGCTTATTAAATCTGCAGATGATACTGAATTGGGAGGGGGAGCGAATGCGGTAGAAGACAGAGTCAGGTTACAGGGTGGTCTTGACAGGCTGGAAAACTGGGCTAAAAGAAATTTAGTGGGGATGAATGTAAAGTTCTGCATTCAGGTAGGAAAAATCAAATGCATAATTATAGGATGGGGAGACTTGTCTTGGCAGTAGTATGTGCAAAAAGGATCTAGGGGTCTGAACACGAGTCAGCAGTATGATGGGGTAGCGTAAAAGGCAAATGGGATTCTGGGCTGTATCAACAGATGTATAGCGTCCAGATCTCGTGAAGTGATGGTGTCGCTTTACTCTGCTCTAGTGAGGCCTCACCTAGAGTATTGTGTTCAGTTTTGGGCACCACAGTTTAAGAAGGATATTGAGAAGCTGGAACGTGTCCAGAGGTCTGGAGACCAAGTCCTGTGAGGAAAGGTTGAAGGAGCCGGGTCT